AAAATGAATTGACAAAGGAATCGAATTTAAGGATATACCCTCAAATACCGAAACGTCGACGACTCCATCAAATTACTGTATGGAAAAAAACCGTAAAATCGTAAAAATCGTAAAATCGTACCATACCGATTCCACTACGTTCCTAAACGTCAGTCAAATGCATGGCGTTTCCCGAAATGGATTTACCCAACGTCAAGTAACCAATCATCTTTACAGAGAAATAACAAAAAGATAATTGAGTTGTGACTGTTTTCGAATGCAAACCAATTAAGAAGGTGTATACGCCATGTACATGCACCTTCAGTTTGAATACGAAAAAAATGATGGAATACATCTGAATTCATAAAACTTTCTGAAGGTGAAGCAATAGTTTAAAGGTAAAAATGAAATCATTCTCTTCAGTCGACGTCTCTAGGCTACCATCATGTACGGAATCCGAGCAGGAGAGTACAAACAGAGGAAGCCCTCCTGACAAAGGCTACTTTGAGCCACACAACTTCAACCGTCCACATATTCTATGTGCTGCCGGCCCGCACTTCAATGGAGAGTAAGAAAAAACTTGTACTTTTACCCCTTTATTCTCGACAAATTCATTATTAATTTACCGAAGAATTTTCGAGCAAGACAGAGCCTTAGAGGCCTTTCAGACCAAGACATCAACCATTACTGTCTCGCATGCAGGTGGTTTCGCTCATCTCTGCCTATGCACACCGCAACTTTCTCTACCACAGACAGAAATATATCGTATGAACTCCTCAGTTTCAAACCCTACCACAAACTCCCACTATCTTCAGCAGGAAGTCTCTGAAAATTTGTTCACAGCGAAATTCGATCCATACAAACACCTCCGTATGAATAACGAGAACTGGAACGACAAAAGAATAGGGTCGTGGGAAGCCGAAAAATGTTAGCCCGAGAACAAATGACGTACGAACGTAGTGTGAGAACTAGAGAGCTTCCCGCAAAAAACGTCGGAGGAAGAAGTCGGGAAGGAGGATGGAAAGAATAAGGGTCCTGGAACCGCCATGGAAATCTGTCCCACTTAAAGCCCCAAAGCCCCAATACACGCCCCATTGGCTGAAGAGAAGTGCTGAAAAGTTGGCCATTATTATATTTACATACGAATAGTCGTACACTGGGCAAATAAAAACAGGGAGGACATGTGACCTATGGTAGCCTCATTAAATTGNAAATTGGTGGTTTGCCTTGTCGCTGACCAAAGTGAGCCTATACCTTACTGCTGTCATTGAAGCGGATGCCCTTTAGTCCTTTTGAATTCATTGGATTCCTCACTGCCCTTCCTTCCAGCAGAACGTCAGTTTACTCTCGCGAAAGTCAGATTTCTTCTCCACAATCGCTGTCCAATAGAAAAACTTCAATCTTCAAGAAGTAATGGACTTTTCATTCGGATGTATTGTCACAGCCAGTTCCCTACAGTCTTCCACGGCTGAAGAAGTAAAAATTTACCCCCCATATTTCCTGATGGTCACCACAGTTTTCCCAGGAATGAAACTGTCATACGTAGCTCAACCTAGTCCCCCTCAACGATCGATACATGATTGTACTTTTACAAAGAAGTTCAGAATGCAAGAATAAAATAGCAAAAACTTCAGCAAATTCATTCTTTTCTTCTCCAAACTCGCTTTCGTGACTCCCTCTTGCACTTAGCCAACGTCCCATAGCACTTGTCAATCACTTCCTTTTGCTGTAGAAAAAAGAAAACTGGAACAAAGATTTATGGTCAATCAAGGAAGCAACTAGAAAATGACTTTTCCCAGCGAACGAAAGAAATCGGAAAGATAAAATGTTTCACCGGGTATTCCTCGGATTCTACCAACTTTTGTAAAGTTCAAGACCAGACCGGAAGCTACAGATGCCTATTGTCAGCTCTCCGCTTTCTGGGATGGATTTTAGTTGGATGAAGGAAATCTCAGGAAATATCATGGAAAACATGGATCTCGCCAGAGAGTGGGTGGAGACAGGGTGAATTTTTTTTTTCAAGAAACTCGCGAACTACGTAGAAAAGATATAAAATCACGGTGGAGAAAAAAATGGAGATAAAATTAAATTGTAAAAGCGTATCCTGATTGATTGGAACATCGTCCAAATTTTCAATGAAAAATTTGCCCTGATAAATTCTGGAAATTTAAAAGAAACAAAAAATATTTGTACAACCATACAGAGCCTACTTCAATATGATCCTCTTTCATTTTTTCAAAGATTTTCGAGAAAGAAAAAAAAAACAAATAAAGGAAACAAATAGACAATGAGCAGCGTGATGGCCTCTTGCGGAGTAGCCGATGGAGAGTCGGCGATGACGACAACGTAGATGGCCCCTCCCACTCGCCCTCCCTGACGTGAGCGCGGACGCGAACCGGGGAGTTGACCCAATTTATCGATTGGTCCCGGCTAGTTAGACAGCCAAGTCTGAGAACGACAAGATGAGCACGAACGGGAGCGTCAAGATCAAGAAAAACCGCTGCTGACATGTGGCTAGCCCATCAATCAGAGCATAAATTGTAGTACACGCATCGTGCAGGAGGCGAGTACCCATGCACTTTCGTCCAATCGATAGATCGATCGACTCAGGACAGTAATCTGAGCTTTTGCCGTAAGTCAGACACCCCCAACTGAAGAGTATTTAGATAAGACCAACATTAACGAAAAGATAAGACGAGCAGTCCCACGTAAGTCGATTATACAAGAGTGCGCCGTGCACTTGGCTTGCACCCAGATCAGTTGTGATTGTACTATCTATAAGATGGGATAAGAGAGGAAACTAATGGTCATGTTAGACAATTTGATCTTTTTTGAAAGTATAGCATCTAAAAAATAAAAATCAGCTTGGCCAATCTAAACAAGGCCCTAACTCGCTCAAACAACTAAAGCCACCTTCTGCCACACTTCTTGTCAGATAAAAGTTATAAGTACTCTCTGCCAGTCAGTTCTTTCCGGAATGCGCCAGCCTCTCATTTGACCCCTGTTTACAGAAATTTTTCTCAGCAAAATAGAGAGGAGTCGGAAAGTTTGTAGTCTTAGACGGATAGTCATCTGAGATTTAAACCCTGGAGCATGAGAACGCTGGGACACCGTTTTTTACTGCCGACCCTCGTTCTCCACAACAGATGAAACAAAAACAGAAATGTGAGGGTTTGGTTGAAAGGAAGCAAAACATAAGATAAACTAAAAAAGAAAAAATCAGGTAAGAGGATTAGAAAAATCAATATTTTCGATCAATAAACTGACTCAAGGGAAATCAGTTTAACCTCATCAACAACAGGCAGTAAATCAGCAAGTCAAGGTCTGTGCAAATATTATGTATGAATACCTTCTGTGGAAAAGCTAAACAAACGAATGGATAGTAAAAACAGATCGAAAAACTTTACGAACAGGCAAATTAAATAAAAGTGATAGAATTTGCTTGTTTACAAACAAATTGCCAATATTTGTTCAATCGGGTGAAGCTGGAGCATTGTCAAGTGGTTCTATGAGTGGCCGGCTGATGGAATTCTGCCAGATCTACCAAAGCTACCACTACCTCGATAAACCCAGGTGTTCAGCGGAAGCCAAACTACATAAGATGAACTGCCTCCACGAAACTGAGCGCATGATAGATGCATGGCGCATCTCAAGATCGAGTAGCTGCGAATACCTTCTCTTGAAAACACTTAGTTATGTGACCGTAATCTAACAGATTCCGTACTGTACCGTAACTAAATAAATACGGTAAGGCACAGAAAAAACAAGAGCCGAAAAAATAGACAGTCGAGTGGTTCCTTCACAAGGTCTGTCAGCACTTGTGGTTTTTCTTGTGTTCCCTCTTCAGATGGATTTCTGCGCACGGGAACTCATCCTTCCACTCTTCTTTCCCATAACTCGACAAAAAAGACTGTAGGTACCCGGATCTATGGTTTCTAGCGCAAATTTTTGCAGTGTAGTTATAAACAGCTTTTTGAGTACGGTATTTGACTAATACTGTCCTGAATACCACTTTCCTTTCAATTCGGTCCGCCCCTGAACCATCCTAAAAAAGAAGTACAATCGACCGAAGAAAAAGTAGTCTTCACTTGTTCTCTCGTTAATGTAATTTTTTCATTTCCCTCTCCTCAAACCTCACAAAAACAAAAAATCCATCCTCTCCCATAAATTAATCCTTAGCTCGAAAACTGCGTGGAATCCGGTAGTCACAGGTGTGTCTACCTGTTTTTACATTGATTCTTTCGAGATTTCCGTGAAAAAACTTTTCGGCGCTCTAATCATAGCAAATTCGCATCGTCTCCATTGAAGGGGACCGATAAAAAGTACATAAAAAGTGTGGAGGTAAAGGAAGACCCATGAGCTACTTTATAACTGCAAGCTACATAATTGATGGGTCAGTTTGAATCGGAAGTTCCAATTTGTACCCAGAATTTTCCGATCTTAACCTTGTAACAAAAGTCTAAAATTTTTAATTACAATACCGACTAGATATGAAGAAGGAGATGTCATAAAAACAATACCATTAGAAAACAATAATTGAGTTTAAAAAAATTAAAAACACCGGTTTGCTGGAAGCAAAAGACCGGATGAAATCATTGAAGAGGTAAACACAAATCTCCTAAACTTCACAAAAACAGAAATTAGAAAGAAATCTGACCACCACAGGAAAATATATAAACAAGCCACACACGGTCACAGTGGGAGGTCAGCGCCCATTTGATTGAAGCGTTACGGAAGCAGATTTTAGTCGTTAGACCTCGCGTAACCGGTGCGACTACGACGAGTACGTTCAAAATGCCGTTGTAACCTGGTCGATGGCATCGATTTTTCGCCAGTTTTTGTTCGCTGTTTGCTTTATCGCTACGCATGTGTAGTTCATAGTTTGGTGGCGTAATTATTCATAGTAGCGACCGGCCCGTCAATCAAATTTATTAAGCAATTTGTCTTTTTCCTCGTTTGCTTATATGTTTTCGTGTGGGAGTTTTGGTAACTACAATCTTTCCATTTTCAAGGCTCATTCAATGAAATACTTGGAAAATTCAGCGCTGGAAGCGCTGTCATCCAGTTTGAGTATAGGAGCCATTGACTGCATATTGGATGTCAAGTAAGTAACATTTTAGACTTCTTCATGAAAAGTACTGAAAATTACGAGGGCTAAGTTTCATTGGTTTCTAGTGAAGGATTATCTTATGATTTATGAAATTTTCTATAAGAATGAAATGTACTCCCACATAATTTGCACACTAAATTCTTCGTACCAGGGGTTTGCCAATCATTCGTTGCTTAAGTCTTCATAATTAGTGATCACAGTTGATCCAATAAACAGAGAGCTCTTTGCACGTGACATGCACTTTGATTCGAAAGTTCATATCAGACTGTAATGGACTGGTAATGTAGTTTCTACAGAGTAGCGTTAACACGTATACAACCTTTCTCAAGGAGTCACCTGTCGGTAAGGAGTAACAAATGATGCATTCCTTTTTAGTGGGAAAAAGTAGCATCTACTTGTCAGCTGTCAGTCGAGAATGATTGACAACCAAAGTATCTGCCAGTAAAATTTTATTGGGTGAGACTTTGAGGACACCCACAAAGAGTCGTACTTTGGGAGAACTGCTTGTGTTACTAAAGTCCGGGTCCATTCTGAAAATAAAGAATGGTTGCATTTAGATTGGAGTCGTATTCTTGTAAAATGGTCCAAAGCGATAAGAAACAATGGAAAGCCTATGGTGGATCCAATGAATCGAATCATGCCAATGAGAGACAAGTATGTATTTGTGTTTTGCATTTTTCTCTCAAAATTAATTGGTTGCTTTAGCCGTTATCTCCTCCTGACGATTTCCTATCCATATCTGCATCGCCAATTGGTCATTCGGCTAGGATGCGACATTTGTCTGAAGCAACGCATTCTGGATCCGAGACAGACGCTGATGATGTAAGGCTACTTTCTTATTTTGTTTCAAGTGCTTACTGATTTTCCTATCATTTCTCCGATTAGCCAAATTTTCGTCTTTATAACCATTTCGTATAGAATACTTCAGTTCGTGCTTCTGGATTCAATATCGAAGCGAACATTGTTTGATCTGATTGGAGCGCTGAACATCGCGTATCCAGATTACGACTTCAGTGATGTAAAAAGTAGCAGCTTTTCTCTCATCCCGAACGTAGAGGTGAGTTTGACGACTGCTTCTATCAATCTACAACTTATGTAGTTACTCCATTCCAGGTGGTAATGGAGGCGGTTGACAACAAGTTTTACGCTACCGTCAATGGATATTCGTCTATGCGTGACGAACTTTGGTTGGCTATCGACGCAGAAATCCAGCCTAATGATTGTAGAATATACAGGTTTGAAGTTTTTTCCGATTATGCTTCAAATGAGTGTTGGTTCTATTCATTAGCTAGACGTCTTCTTTGAGGATCACCTTCCATCTACCGTTCTTAGTTTTACATTTGTTTATTTATTGTTTTTGTTTTCAGCTTCAAATCAAATTATATCGACGATCCATTCTCGGAAGACGGTTGCTTATGGTGTCTAAACTTTTTCTTTCATAACAAATCTCTCAAGCGTTTAATGCTACTGTCATGTCGTGCACTCTCACAAAATGGAGCTTCTGGCGAATCTTTGTGGGATTTGGACGACGAATAAACTTACCAACAAATGCATAATACTACCATTTTTTCTCCTCTATTTGTCGGCAGTTTTTCATTTCGATTCTGTTTACTTATTACTTACTAATCTCGTGTAAAACCTCACTATATTGGAACTTGTGTAAGACAGCATGTACAAAGCCCATATGTGTGTAGCATAACGTGTCGTCGTCAGGAATGCATTGAATTTTCCCTTTACCAATTTTTGTATCCGGTGCGTGCGTGTTTATAGTTGCTGATTGATATTGTCCTTATTTTCTTCTGAAGAATTCTTTTTATTTCCTCCGCATGGTTAGACCAATGTACATAGTTATTGTACAGATTGTAGAAGTTATCAGTAGTTGCACTGCCGAGATAGATCTTTGTAAATAAACACTGATAAATCCAGGTTAAGATTTTTGCTTATTATGGAAATTAGTTCCCACTGGCTAACGTGACTATCGCATCCATCCGAAATCAATACAAAAACAAGTTCTTCCTTCATATTTACTTCCCCATTCACGATCTTATCGTCAACTGGAACTACGTACACTCACCCCACACTCAAGTACTACGTCAACTCAATTTCTACGGGAAAAGTAAATTGAAAACCACAATGAGCGGCGTTGCCATGACATTGGAACCCAATTGGAAGCACCTTTTGGAAGCAAAATTTTGAAAAAAATATTTCAAAAGTTAGTTACTTTGATATTTTCTCAACAAATTCCAAAAGTAACTTCTTTATCATTTCAAAACAACAACTTGATCACATGCACAATCAAAACCAACAGTAGTTTAGTAGAGATATAACATCTGAGGGAGGTTTTCCATGTCAAAACAGCAGTCTAACAGAAACAACACTGCGGAAACAGTATGGGAATAACAAAATAACAAGTACAAGTATACATACTATTAAGAGATTTCTCATTTTCTCGTCTTTTGTTTAATAGTAAATGCTTTTGGTCGTTTACGATACCCGGCTCCAGATAGCTGAGATCGTATTTGGACCTGAACGATCGCTTTCTTGGTCAGGATGGAGCAAAAAGGGTTTGCACCAGGGAAAACGGAATAGGTCAACAGCGGTGTCATATAAGTTCTCAAAATCTCGATGTTATCTATATGGTATATATTAAACATTTCAGGTTACCTTGGATTAGGACTAGAATTTAAAATGAATACTGAGTGCATTTTTAGAAACTTCAAGGGTTGAAATGAACTTGGACTAGGATTTATGATAGGAATATTGCGAACGTATTGCTAAAAACTTTAAGGTTTGAATGTTTTGGTTTCTTTACTTGTTATATGCTAATTTTTAAGGCAACGGTGCTATCTTAATCAAAAAAAGTCGAGATTTACTTGAACGACAATCCTCCCCTCATGCCCTGTAGAATAAACAAAAATTCTGCTCATAATTACTTGCGCAAAAAAAGAAAAAATAATNAAAAGTGGTTAAACCCTGAGCGCTCACCTTTGGCTTGTGTGATATAGGCATGTCAACGAATGGTGGGACCGAAAATCCAAAGGACTTGCACACGGCTATCAAATCAAGATTATTCACATCGAAAATATCCTGAAAAGAGGTTTATCAGGAACCTGGACAAGAAGTAGGTGAACGAGTGCTTTCAATCATTAATCATAATGATAAAGAATCCCGAGAGAAAAAGCTGCGTTCACCACATTGCATCACTCAGGCGTTCTGACGATTTGCCGCCTCACGGTTTTTACTTATCTGCATTCGAACCGAGCAATAAAATTATGAACAGTCTTAAGCAGTTCGAAAAAAATTCAAACCCATAAAAAGCTACTTTAACGCTTACCTTGAGAGAATGTGAGTCATAGGCCCTCACGTAGCACTTGTAGGCCTCTTTGGCAGACTTGTTCAAGTAGTAATTCTTATCGATGAGATTTTCCAATTGTGATTGTATATTGGCGATCTTAAATAGCTCAAATTTACCTAGAGCAAATAAAACAGGTAAAAGTAGAGCTGCAAGCAAAAAAATCAAATAGTGATTAGGCCAGTGCTCCAACAACATGCTTGCCTTGCAAACAGGAAGCCATAAAAGGCGCCTTCGAAAACTTCCATCAAATCTTCCTTTCAATACTTACATTCTACCATTCTTATGTTCCTAAGAAGTAAGTCATACCTTAGACCATGAGAACTCATATTCATTGAGTACCACTTTTGCTGCTCGTAGATATCGAAGAAAACCAAGCTCTTCCGGTCGGAGCACCAGCAAGGCGTTTCCACTGAAAATAAAAATGAAAAACGAATAATAGAAGGTGACAGCGAGGGAACTTACCGTCCATCCTTCCCTCGTGCTGTTCGTCCAACTCGGTGAATGTATTCACGCGGCTCGTCGGGTGGATCGTACTGAACAATCCAATCAACAGCTGGGATATCCAGACCCCTGAAATTCTTGTGCTTATTACTTTTTTTTAGAAATTAGACCCATAGATTGTCAGTCAATTTCACAAGTTCACCTTGCCGCAACGTCAGTACACAACAAAATTCCAGTTTCCGCCTGGCAAAACTGGAAGAACGTCGAAGTACGCTTCGCTTGTTTTTGCTTCCCCTAAAAAATCTCAAAAATTGAAAAAAAAAGAAATATACATCCTTAATAGGGGGACTACCCAACTGGACTGAAATTCACATAAAACTTACATGAATAGACATACAAGGAATGTCAATGTAGTTCAACAACTCATGATGATATTTCACAGAATTACATGAAGAGAAAAACACCATAACCTGAAAATCAACCCAATAGTGGCGGAGAGCTATAAAATTTGAGAAAACATCTAAGAAGAGGTTTCAAAAGNAAAAAAAAAAAAAAGAGAAAAAATGCAAAATGATTTTTGATCACAAATGAAGATACACCACCCGACACAAAATCAAGCAGTAATCAAAAATTCCTCGACATCCGTGATTTGTGAAATGCCAATCCAGTTTGCAAACTGACGATGGAAAAGGTCAAAATCCTGATTCAGAGTTCTCAATTAGAAAACTTCCTCCTTCTCCGAGAACGTAAAAAATACGTTCGTGATTTGAGATTTTGCGCTTTAGAGAGAGAGAGGATCAAATTACAGGGAAAGTTCCCTCGAACTTGAACTGCCACCTCCCGACCCCATACCTACCCTTGCACTTTTGAGAGATTCTAAAAAACTTAAGAGAGGGGTCGCAATAAAAACTACTGACCTTCTTATTCTTGTTCTTTTTCAAAAACGTAAACAACATTAAAAACCGCTTCTCAGAAGGACACACGACGTAGCCCTGGAACATTGCACATGAAAGACAAACATCCATAACAAAATAGGGAAAATAGGGCAACGTCCACAATTAGAAGATTCAAGTTTGATTCCACAAAGTTGTTACCAACCTGTTGCAAACCCTCTACAGTTGCAACCTCACTTTTTTCTGCAACAGATAGCTTGACTGGATTCGAATGAAGTGATATTTTAACAAGCTCATCAACCTAGAACATAGTACATACTTGATGAATAACCAAATGTAGGACTATTCATTGTGAATAGAGTTGAAGCAACTTACCTTAGGAGTGTGAGTGGCCGAAAAAAGCATGGTCTGGCGTTTCCTTGGCAAATATCGAAGAATCTGAAATCAAAATTCGTAATTGCCTTGATATAAAACATTGAACCATGAAGTTTTCCTTTCTAAGCTTCTATGTAATCGAAAGCACCACCTCAAGTCTAGAACACCTAACTATGGTCAGTACATGAGCAATAATGAACAAAACTTGAAAATTCAACATGTGGGCCATTTTTTACGCATACTACTGAAAATTAACATAACTTTGTTCATTCCGGTCGAACAATTCAAGATAAAACTGATAGAGTAACAGGCTAAAATCCAACTTTCGAAGTAGAATAATGCCAGTGCAACTCATTGACTGACTGTCTTCATGGCTTCCAGCATTAATTGACAAACCTGTTGCATTTCGAGCTCAAACCCTATATCGAGAATCCGATCCGCTTCGTCAATCACAAGACATTTCATATTTTTCACCAAGAATGGTTCCGTGTTCTGAAGATGATCCAAAAGACGACCAGGAGTAGCCACTAGTATAGAAACACCCTGAAGCAAACCAGTGACACAGCGATACACAGAAAAAGGAATAAAATCAAAAAGAAAATAATAAATAAATCTCGGACTGCTCATCAAGCAAAATAAGGAAGGATTCGATAAAGCACCCACTTTAGCCAACTTTTCTTGCTCCGCGCTTCTATTCGATCCTCCCATCACCAACCCATGGCTGAGATTAGTTCCTGAGAACATTCCAAATCATCTCATTTTGGAAGTGAAAAGGCACTGGTGTACCAGGAATTCCAACTTGGAGGTAAGAGATAACGAAGCCAAGTTACCTTCTACCAACTCCGTGAGCACGCCATATGTTTGCATTGACAGTTCTCGTGTTGGCGATACAATTATTACGCCAGTACCATTGTACTGCTTCCATTCTAGTTTCAACAACAATTCGATGGCTGGTATCAAGAAAGCCAAGGTTTTCCCAGAGCCTGTCTTAGCAGATGCCAGTACGTCACGTCCCTACAAAACTTACGCTCAGCATCTGTGAGAACGACTTTGGGGATTATCAGAATGTAAATGACAGTATGTTACTAGATAGAGGAGAGAAGATAAAGGGAGATATTATTATACTACAATATGGGGAAAACGGTAAGAAAGCAGTTCTTGTCGACAAACCTCCAGCAGCGGCTCAATACTTTTTGCTTGAATTTCCGTCATTGATGTGAATCCCATCTTGCGAACAGACTCGAGTATCCTGTCGTTAACTTTACCCTTCAAACTATCAAACACTTTTCCTCCAGCAAAAAACGATTCGACATCGTCAATAACTGGAGCAGAGGATGGTATCTGAGCAGTATCGGTGGCAGATCCATTCTAAAATTGAGCGCATCTATCAGAGGTCGGGGGCTAAAGGAAGAGTCCACTTACCTGTTCAATTTTCTCGTTAGCATCATCATGAACCTCTTCTTTGATATCGACTTCTTCTTCTTCTTTATGCTTTACATGCTTTTCTTTTTTCCGCATCTTAGCCTGAAACGACCGAAAGGTGAATCACCACTTGCATAAAGTGATTTGTGGGAAGGTGTACAGGGAGTTGTGTGGTGAAAAGTTGTTATACAATCGCTATATAATAACCTTAGACTCCGAGTAGTAATAGGGTAGGATCCACGAAAAAGAAAGGGTCTATGTGGCCCTTCAAATTTGAAGGGGAATGCTCATAAAATAAAATAAATAAATATGAGTAATGAAAGATAGTTC